CTTCTGGGGCTCGTTTCTCCCCGGCCGCGGGGACCTGGTGAACGCCGCCTTCTGGTTCATTTCCCGCCAGCCTAGCGGTCGCCGCTTTCTGTGGGGTGAGTGGAGACGCCGTGCGGGAGGTGCCCGCCGGCGGGCCCGGGCAGGTGGAGGCGGGGGTCACCTGCCGAGGAAGGGGCGGTGCGGGGGGCGCGCGGGCGCGGCTGCGGGGGTGAGTGTGGCGCGTGCCCGCGTGCGTGGTGGGGCTGACCTGAGCCTCGGGGGTTGGCGATAGGGCCCGCACTGTTGTAGGATCGTGTGTGGCCGAGTCTGTGAGCTGTGCCATACCCTGATGCTTCGATGACAGCCCAGCGGTGACCAACCTGAAATGGGTCGAAATTGGTCTAGCGTCGATTTTTAAATTTCTTTTTCACTTTAAAGTTTACAGTTTCTGAGAAATCAGGATCTCCGTATGGCTCTTGTTTGTTGCTGTCAAGTCTCCCATGGCCATTAGGGGGTCCCCTCCAGCCCCCCCCCCGTGCCCCCGCCCTCCATATGGCTTCAGGAAAAGCTTGTAGCTTTTGTTGCCTTCCCTGTGCGCCCTGTACCTCCTGTTCAGGCTTGTGCCTCATACACAGCAGACAAGCCCTAAAATAGCACTGACTTCGTTTGTTGGGGGGATCTTAGCGCTGCAGTCGCCCCCAGCGCAGGATCTTGGAAGATGTGTATGGAGGTGCCAAGAGTAGCGTTCCTTTCTCCAAAGATTCCTCTTGGAGGCTCTGTGGGCCTTTCGGCTTTGCAGAATTTACAACGTTTTCATAGCTCCCTGGACAGGAAGCTGCTGTGAACACAGAAATGGATACCAGTCCTAGGCTTTAGTGAACCTCTTTTCTACGGAAGAGGCTACAGTCTTCTAGTGTTTCTCATACTGTGATAGTGTAACAGGGGGGTCCCTAGGAAAAAGGGAAGTTCCAGGTTCCCTGCCCCACCCAGGAGGAGGGTGTAGCTGAGCAGAGAAAAAGGAGAGAAAAGGAGAGAGAATGAAGCAGGATGGAGAAGGAGGAGACCTAAGGAAGCCACATGGAGCAAGCACCTGGAATTTCCCTTTTTCCTAGGGGCCACCCTGTTACAATAGCACTATGAAGCTATCTGCAGTTGCTTCAGCACACGTTGGATCCCCACCAGGGAGCTGACCCACACACAGGGCGCAGCGGACCTCTCCTGTCTCCCTGCTGCTCCCCTCAGCAGTGTGTTCAGTCCATCTGCCTGTTCTTGTCCCCACTCTGTCCCTGGTGAATCCTCTCACCCCCTGCACCTCTAGCCTGGACTGCTGTTCTTGTATGCATAAATAAGTAAATCTTAATGGAAGAAAAGAAAAACGCAGTATGTTATGATTCTCTTTTCTTCCCAAATGAAGATATACCAGAAGAAGAGCCATGAGAAATAAAAGCATTGTAGTTACACATTTAAAGCCAAGCTAAAGGTCATTATGTGCTTATTCTTTATTTTGTAAAAGGCATTTTTGTTTTTCAGTATGTAGAATAATTTTGTATGTCAAGTAGTAGCTAATCCATTTACTTTGTCCTGAGGCCTTCTCTTCCCATTTAACTATGAAGAGAGAGACATTATGAGGCTAGACCCCTACTTTCCCAATGACTCATCAGATGTTCTCCCTAAAGTTAATTTTACCGTCAAGTTTAAAGAAATGTTTTACAAACAAATCATATGTCAGGAAAATATGAAACATTAAACATCATCCGTATCTATGAGACTTAACTCAGGAACTTTTTTTATTAAAAAATATTTTTATTTATTTATGCATACAACAACTGGAGTGTAGATTAGAGATGGGGGGGGTGCAGTGAGAGGATTTACCAGAGACAGAGTGGGGAGCAGGGGTGCAGTGAGAGGATTTACCAGAGACAGAGTGGGGAGCAGAACAGACAGATCAATGAAGTATACTGCTGCAGGGACCAGCAGGCGAGACAGGAGAGGTCTGCTGGGCCATGTGGGCCATCTTCCTGGCCAGGGATCAAACTTAACACTGAAGCAGTTATGGCGAGCTTCACAGTGCTGCGATTTAACCCGTTGAGCCACCAGGGAGGGCCCATGAGAGTACTAATTAATGGGGGTGGAACTGGAATGATCAAATTATTTGGCTACTACAATAGAAGAACAAAGAAACATAACACTAAATGTTGATAAATCCAACATTGTTAGTAATGAAACTTAACAAAAAATGAACTAAGGACTCCAATAAAAAGACAGTGACACTGGTTGAAAAGTACAAAATCAACCAACAGCTGACACAAAAAAGTTGAAAGTAAATGTATGAAAGAGATAAAACACAAACATTAACCAAAAAATTTTATTGTCACTATATTAATATCAAAAAAGGGGGGAAAA